ACGGGTTTTCTCTTATCGAAGACGTAGCTTTTCTGTCTGACCCTGGGAGCTTCACGTTTCTCGCGGATTCGTACTCCTTTCTCTGTAGTCTCTCGGAAGATTTCCGGACCAGCGAAGGTGCTGTCTGGAAATTTGACATCTAGCTAGTTGCTTGTCACCTAATTTAGTCCAGCGCAGAGGGGATCTGCACTTGCGACCACAGAAGGTTTCGAATGGAGCAACTTTAAATGCTAGTATGATAAAGGACTCGACTAATTGGTAAATTGGTATCCCATGCTTTACCAAAGTCGATCACATATGCTCTCAGTATGACTTCTAATGCTTGAATCGTTCTCTTATTCTGTCAGTCGGTTTAAGGGACTACGAGAATAGGAATGAGATACTTATGTTTGAATGCTTGAATCGTTCTCTTATTCTAATGCTTGAACTCTTGAAGATCATGATGATCATGAAAAGAAGTGTTGCATCTAGGCTAGAATCAAGTGTTTCAAAGGGACTACGAGAAGAGGAATGAGATACTTATGTTTTTGGAGTGAAAAAAGGGCTTTCACTTGATGATACTTGAGAGAGAATAGGGTGGTTCATGGCTGGAAGATGAGAAAATGAAGAAAAATGGCAACACGCTATTATATATACGAGGGTTCACGGTTCGAAGGGTTCACGGCCATGAACCTCGTTTATAGTCCGAAGGAGGTGCTGGCCGAGAACATGATTACGGCTGCGAGGGTTCACGGTCCGAGGAGTTCATGGCCGTAAACCTTTTGCGGCCCGAAGTGTATGGTCCGAAGTTTGCTTGTTCTCGGTTGCGAGGTTGGTGTCCGACGGGAAAGAAAGAATGGATTTCGAACTTCAATTTTCACCTCTTAAACATATAACACCTTGAATACGAGGTGTACACATTTATAAAACATTAATCTAACCCATCCAAGATAAAATAAGATTTAGGTTGATTTTAGTTGACCCAGGTTTGACTTTGACTAACTCGGGTTGACTTTTCAAGAAGAAAATAACGGGTTGTCACAGGGATCACCGAGTTTCTTCTTGAAAAAGAAGGATGGGTCTCATCGTATGTGCATCGTCTACCGGGAGCTGAATAAGGTAACGGTAAAGAACCGTTATCCACTCCCAAGGATAGATGATCTTTATGACTAGCTTTAGGGTGCATCTTGGTTCTCTAAGATTGATTTGCGATCGGTTTATTATCAGATGTGGGTCAGGGATGAGGATATGTAGAAGATAGGTTTCCGGACTCGTTATGGTCATTACGAGTTCGTGGTGATGCCCGTTGGACTCACCAATGCTCCAGCCGTGTTCATGGATCTCATGAACCGCGTGTGCAGACCGATGTTGGATCGGTCTGTGATTGTATTCATTAATGATATCTTGGTTTATTCCAAGACTTATGAGAAACACGAGGAGCACTTGAGGGAAGTGCTGGAAACTTTGAGGAGAGAGACACTTTTCGCAAAGTTCTCCAAGTGCGAGTTCTGGTTGTGCGAGGTGCAGTTTCTGGGGAACCTTGTCAACCGGAATGTATTTTGGTCGATCCGGCCAAGGTTGAGGTCGTGATGCAGTGGGAGGTTTCGAGGTCTCCATCTGAGATTCGATGTTTTCTTGGTTTAATGGGTTATTATCGGATATTCATCTAGGATTTCTCCAAGATAATTGTTCCATTGACCCGATTGACAAAGAAGACGGTTACATTTCGGTGGGAGCCTGAGCAGCAGGCTGCTTTTGAGACTTTAAGACATCGGTTGTGCGAGGCATAAATTCTGACCCTACCAAAGGGTGTTGATGATTTCATGGTTTATTGTGATGCTTCGATCATAGGTTTGGGGGCAGTGCTGATGAAGAGGGTTCGTGTGATCGCTTACGCTTCGAGGCAGCTAAAGCCTCATGAGGCGAGTTATCCGATGCATGATTTAGATTTGGGGGCCGTGGTTTTCGCCCTCAAGATTTGGCGGCATTAACTCTATGGGGTTCGTTGTACTATTTACATGGATCACAAGAGCTTGAGGTATTTGATAGACCAGCCGAATCTGAATATGAGGCAGTGTTGATGGTTTGATGTGGTGAAGGATTATGATTGCGAGATCCTTTATCACCCGGGGAGGCCAATGTGGTGGTCGATGCTCTCAGCCGCAAGGCGGTCGCGACCCCGATCTGAGACTTATGTTTGAGGATGACCGTGATTACTCCATTGTTAGAGCGGATTCGTATGGCACATGCCGAGGCTGTGAAGGAGTGCACCGAAAGAGCGGACGAAATGTGTGTTAGGTGGTTCCTTTAATTATGATAGTCATGGATTGTTGACTCTGCATCCGCGAGTTTGGGTTCCGTATTGGGGCGGTGTATGTTAGACTCTAATGGAGGAGGCTCACAAGTTGAGGTTCTCCATTCATCCTCGGGCGACGAAGATGTATAGGGATCTTCGTCCTACTTATTGGTGGCCCTGCATGAAGCGGGATGTAGCATGGTATGTGGAGCGGTGCTTGACCTGCAGGAAGGTGAAGGCCGAACATCAGCGACCTCACGGAAAGATGCAGCCGTTGGAGATTCCCGTATGGAAATGGGAGGACATCAACATGGATTTTATCATGAAGCTTCCCAGAACTACGCGCAGAGTAGATTTGATATGGGTCATCGTGGATCGTTTGACCAAGAGCATGCATTTCATTTCGGTTCAGGAGAATATTTCTACTGAGAAGTTTGTCGAGGTTTATATCAAGGGGGTTGTGGCACATCGGGTGCCAGTATCGGTGGTTTTTGATAGAGATGTCTGGTTTACTTTCATGTTTTGGAAGAGGTTTCATGACGACTTGGGCAATCATCTCCACTTCAGCATATCATTCCATCAGCAGACCGATGGTCAGAGTCAGCGAACTATACAGACCCTTGAGGATATGCTTCAAGCATGCGTGTTGGACTTTCGAGGGAGTTGGGATACGTATCTCACGTTAGCAGAATTTTCGTATAACAATAGTTATCATGCCAACATTGATCGACCTCCTTCTTCTTTTTCAGCAGCAAAAAAATCTTTATAAACCTGGATTTTTTGCAGAAACATGAACGAAACACCAGCAACATTTATTTTGGAAAGCTTGAAAAAGCTTGAATCAACACTCAAAAATCAGAAAACTCATCATAAAAATTTCTACTTGCGAACCCAGAAATTTTATACAAAAAATCACAAGATGAAAGTAGTCGGTCGGGAGTTGTTCCATTGAAGTCGTTCCATTGAAATAATCGCTTAGATCTTCAAGGTACGAATTTGATACCAATTGTAGGATCCCATTTTGGCCATCGGCTTGTGCAGAATAATAAGATCTTGATGATTTAACGATAACAAAAATATGAAGAACAAAAAGATGAGTAATCTGATGATTTACCAGTAAGAAAGAGTTACAATATGAAAATTAAGAACACTTGGTGGGAGAGATCCCGCCATACTCTCTCTAACTAGAGGACTACATTTTTGGTGCACACTTACAAATGACCATTCTCTCTCTCTCTCTCTCTCTCTGTATATATATATATATATATATATATATATATATATATATATATAGAGAGAGAGAGAGAGAGAGAGAGAGAGACCTTACAAAAAATAAAAAGGGAATATAATAGCCTAACTATCACTCATAATTTGTAGAACATTTTCATACTCCAATACCTCAGTAGTTGGCAGCTTAATGTACGTCATAATATATAGAATACTATATATTACTCATGCAATGGGAGTTGTGATCCAGTTAATGTCTAATCCAAGGAGAGAACATTGAGAAGGTGTCAAGTGACTGTTATACTGCTTGAAAGGTAGTCTTAGAAGGTTTTGATGATGCTAATTTGGAAGGTTGTATAGATTTGAGAAAGAGCATGACCGGTTATATGTTCACCATTAGATGTACAATGATCATTCGGAGAACATCATATCAAAACTTGGGATGTAGTAGGAAAATTGTGTATTGAATTGTGACAACTAGAGTAAAAACACTTGGGAAAAATTAGTATTTGATCGTAGGACGAAACACGTTCTGATGAGACATAATTTTATAATATTCGAGAACTAATAAGCAGTGGGACTCTAAACTTGATGACAAATCTTTGGTACAAAGAATCCAACAGATATGTTTACCAAGGTACCCACTATAGAGAGTTGAAGTTGTATATTGTTTCAACTGGCCTTCCAAGTAACCTAAATTCTAACATCATGATTTGGATCTCTTTCAATGGTTGTACATACGATGGACCTCGCTCATGAACATGAATACATTTTGGGACAATGCATCAAGTGTAATATCTTCTTTTGGATTTTTTTGATCACTTCTATTGGAGTTGGTTTCCACGGTGGAGAAATTCGAATCTTTCTTTCTTCTTGTTTTTAATTATGTGAATAATATACCATCACAAACATGTTGATCAAACCTTTGAAGGCTTTCATGAAAAGTCTGCTCAAAATTTTCATACAAAAGTTTAAATAGTTATATAGTTCAATACATATCGATTGAAGGAAAACGGGCAACAAGCTGCGCCGCTAGCCCTTTCTGGATGACAAAACCAATTCTTTTGAAAACAACATTTGTGGATCTAGGAGATATGACATTAGAATGCATGACCCGTTGGACTCTATTGAGGAGCTCCACCGCCTCTGGTGTGAGAAAACCAAATGTATCGAATGCAAAAGGTACAAACACATGTTGATTTTCTATACATGCATTCTCGTGCTTTACCACTTTGCACGCAACGACTTTCAAAGCGGCATGCCCAGCTGTGAAACTCCCGCTCCCCAAACCAACGAGAGGAGAGACCCCAGTAAGATCCACGCATGCATGCTTCCGATTCGAATTAATTATTAAACTTAGATCTATTTTATTCAGTTTTAAAAAACCTATAGGATATACAATACGGCTGACTCGATTTAATTAGGAATACCCATAGAATGCAAAGTTTAAGCAATAAGTTACTAGTAGTTTAGTGTAGAATTAGAAACGTTAAAAGTAGCCCATCAAAAGTTGACAAACCGATATGCATTTAAAATGGTTGTACATATCCACAAGAAGAAACGAAAATTAAAACGAAGATAAATTTAAAAATTTGTTGACTCTATGCACCTTAATTTAGAATTTACAGCAGATGATACCCTGTCCCCATCCTTTATGTTTCCGCAATCTTCTTCTCTCTGCTTTTCCCATTCTTACTGGGCTGCTACTATATTCGGCCTCCAGTCTGCACCACAATGAAGTACTGTAAGTTACAAACCCTGTTAATAATAAAGAAAAAAGAAAGTGGTACTGGTATATATGTTTTTGCAATGCACAATATCCGTTGCTAAAATGCATAGCAACGTACTCATGGCTTGCTAATGGAGTTCTAGTTATGTATTACGTGGGGAAGGCGAAGGATCTGGTGCTTGTTGCACTGCTATCTGATCGATTAGATATGGAGATGCCACCTGAAAATGTTATAGGTCTGGAGCAGGAGATAAGTTCTGTAATTACACCTGCCATGGAGAAACTCGACTCTCCAACATATCGTGTTTCATGATTGGCAACTACGACTGCCACATCACGGTGGTTATGGTTGACATCACTTCGTGTCTCTAACGGAAGTGCATAAATCGTGTCAGAATTCATTCCCCCATAGTGCTCACTATTATATGTTGCTGGTTTGTTGGTGTCAATATGAAAAGCAACACTTCCTTCCATCTCGCTATCGTTCAATACTTTTCCAGCTTCAGATTCCTGTAATTTAAATGATTAAAAATATTCTTTAAAACTATGTTGGTTATAAGAGAAACGAATAGATGGGAAGATACATGCATTGCAAACTTTTCCACCTTGTTGTACCTTTCTGGTGGGACAAATCCACGGACTATATTGTTTTTTCATTTCCTATCTTATGTAACAAATAATACTACTCAGGTGTACTTCCATAAATGTCAATGTCATAAAATTTGCAGTTTTATTTCATACCTATAGAGGTGGGACTGGAGCTGCTCTTATACTTTCATCTATGCAAGAGACGTTGTTATCCTCATAATTGAAAATAATCCTAGAAAGGTATCCAGTCTTCTCCACCTAACTAAAATTTTATGTAACATCTAGTAAAATACACACCTGAAGAGTTTGTTGATCGACATCATCTGCAGAAATATTGGAGGAATCTGTGGAGACATCATCCTCTAAATTTGTACTTAAATTCATTTTTTCTTGACAATCTGTAATATATGAAGGTCTCAACCATTGATGGTTAAAAAATTCGGGATCAAGACTGGCTTCAATCATGTCATCACCATCTTCACTGACAGAAAGGGAACTGCACGCAATAGTTTCTTCATGAGGTATACCTTCATCAATGCAGATATCCTTAACTTGAAAATCACTCTCTTGATAACATACCATCAACTCCGGTAACTCGCATTCTACTGCGTTTTTATCAATGTAAAATCCAGTGGTCTTATGTTCTTGATTATTAGTAAAATCGTTTTCAAAAATTGAACTTTCGAGTTCTGGGTTGTTCCAGAAGTTGGAGTTTTTGTTTTCTTCGTCACATAAAAAGGGATTTGTACACCTAGAGATCCTAATTGTGTTTGCCTCCAGTTCATCTGTATCGATAGCACTGTTGAATTCAAATCACGCCAGAATTAGATATGTGCATATACACTACAATCTAATAGTAAAAAATGGTTAATGTTACCAGATTTCATTATCAGCGCCAGCTGGAAGGGTTTGAAGGATTCGTAGGAGCTGTGAGGCAGACATTATCTACCTTGCAATTGGAGATGACACCTACAAACATAAAACACATAGAATTATTGGATGTCATGCGAATGTGAAGTAATCAGCATATGAGTAGAAATAATGTGTAAGTTTGGTGTTAAGAGAATCAAAATTATACATCACAGAAAATGGCATTGGTGCTTTTAATTATTCTACAAGTTACCCTTCCTTGTTATAAATTTATCGAACAACTTTACTGTGTTGTTAACAATTCAACCAGTTACCCTTCCATGTTTATTGAAGCACTGCGCTAATAGCGTTTACATCATTAAACTCTAAGCATATCCTAAAAATTTCATATCTGGAGAAATGCTAGAAACTTATCATAAAACTTAGGTGTTGTTTGTTTTGGAAGTGGTTAAATGTCTTTTGTCTTTTTCCATGTTTGCGGAAGAAGACGTGTACATGAGAAACGTCTGCCCGTCAAAAGGGAAAAGTGCTCAAAAAGTACTTTTATAGAAAAACAAAGGAGGCCTTAAACTAAATCCCATAGATATTCACCCAATCAAACAATACAACAATGGAGATTAATGTAAATATATACAAAACACAAATATGCAGTTTCATTACCTCCAATCTATAATCTGCCTCTGCTTTTCCTTCTGAAAAAAAAAACTATGGTTTTGCGTCCGTAGAATAAGAAGAATCTATTCCTAACATGGTGCTGCTGTGAATATCTATTCCCAAAATCTATTTTGTATTCCTTCACGCATTTGCACATATAATATACAAAATGCACAAATCAAACGCCAAAATGATTAGATATTCAACACCAAGAATGGTGTCTTATAACTTAGTTTTTACGAGTTATTTGTATGTATGCGTGAATATATGTCTGTATGTGTCTATAGAATGTGAAGAAGAGGGCAAAACATTCAACTCTACCAACTTATCAAAGGTCAACGTTGGAAAACCTAATTATTAAATGTGTGTGCATTTACATATACAATATATAATATATGATGAGCTCCACCACTATGGAAGACTAGAATTAATTATAAAACAAACAAAATAAAGATAACAGTGTCCCCTCTCTCATCGCATTTTAGAATCTCCGCATTAAACAAAGAATGGCTCACCTGGGTTTTGGAAATTGTTCAGGCTGGTAAGGGGTGAAATTTACTCTCCCTGTCGTGGATTTTTCTTGTATTAATTACTCAATCATAATCGTCGGTGTTACCTGCAAAAATACACGGTTTTTTTTTTTTTTTATATTCAAATACTTATGTGCCTTATATCTTATAAAATATTTGAGAATTGTTCTAAAAACTATTATATTTAAGAATAATAAAAATTAGCAAAAATAATAAATACATTATATCTCCCTATATATCTTGATGTTTTCACTCTTATTACCTATTATATCTATACTAAAAACCAAAGTCGGTGGCCTCGACTTTGGTTTTCAACCCCTTTTAACTTTTTCAATTTTCAATTTTCTCCCTTTAATATATTTTACTTTAGTTTTTACCTTTTAGTTTTCAAAATAACATTTTCATCCTTATACGTTATAAATTATCAATTTTACCTTTTTACTTTTAAAACTTTTATAATATCTTTTTCATCCATTTTATTTTCTAAACTTTTGTGTTTATTTCCGTAATATATACAATTTGACTTTTTATATACACCGACACTTTCTATTCCTCTATTTTGTAAAATTATATTTTTCACCCCTCTACTTTTTAAAATATATCATTTACCTCATCAACTTTGAAATTTCTAAAATATCACTTTCATCTTCTTCATTTTTAAACTTTTGTGTTTACTTCCGTAATATATATAATCTGATTTTTCTACAGTTAACCACCCCTCAATTTTGATAATGTCACTTTCACTCTTTTGGATTTGGATTTTATCAAATTCGTTAACTAAAAAAAAACTAATTTGTTACGTTTTTATGTAGGTGCGGCTATAAATTCGAGGTTGTCAACATTTCGACGTAAATCTAAAATTTTCCTTCATTAATTAAAAAAATTACTTTTTTTATGTACGTGTCGATATAAATTCGAATTCATCTACGTTTCGATGTAAATTTTTTTTACGTTGTAGTGCTTAATTTCATCTATTCTAAACAGAGAAGTCGGTGGCCCATATTTTTGCTTTTCCACCCTTCCATATTATTATTTTCCATTTGATTCACACCTCAACTATATATCTACCTACATTTTTCACCCTTATTTTTAGAAATGACCGTTTTCTCATTCTTTACTTTTTAGAACATGGTTTTTTACCTTTTTAACTTTGAAGTTTTTAAAAAATCACTTTCACCCCTTTATTTTCCACCATTTGTTTTTTTAAATGTGGTTTTTTACCTTTTAACTTTTAACTTTATATATTGTCACTTTCATCCCCTCATTATTTAACTTTCGTGTTTAACTACATCCTATAATTGTTGGTACCCCCAAAACTGCAACTGAATTTTTAAAAGTATGAATGTACATACTTTTTCTACATAATGTGGTGCATGTAGTATTGGAATACATGTATACTCAAACGAAGTGAAAATAGAAACAATTGTTTCGTCTATTTTCAACATTTTTGAATGTACGAATGTATATAACTTTTCCTACATAATATGGTGTCTGTAGTATCCGAAGACGTATATACTCAAACGAAATAAAAATAGAAACAACATTTTTGTCGACTTTCAACAAATAACGACAAACTTTTACCTCTTAAATTCATTACTGCCGTCGCAACGCGCAGCGGGTAAAATACTAGTATATACTAAAAACCAAAGTGGAATCCTCTTATTTAGTAAAATAAAATTTTATATCCAATCTTTTTAAATGTATTTTTTATCCCCATCAACTTTGAACTTTATAAAATATCATTTATATCCCTCTATTTTCTAAACTTTCGTTTTATCCCCTGTAGCATATGCAATCTGATTTTACTACAGTTATTCGCCCTTCAACTTTGTAAAATGTCATTTTGACTCCATTGGTTTTGAACTGTAACATTCCAAATTTTAAACCAAAATTTTCATTTAAAATTTAAAAGCATTTGTTCTAATCAGCGTTGCAGAAATCGGCCTTGGCGGCCGATTAATCGCTTGACGGCCTTAAACCGCTTACGATTAGGGTGTTTGGCGGAAATCGGTTAAAGTCGCCCTTGGCGGTCTCGGCGGTCATAGGCAGGAATTTTTTTAAAAATTCAAAAAAAAAATTAATTTTCAAATATTACACCAAAATTTTAAAATTTCAAAATTTTAAGATTTCAAATTTTAAAATATTAAACTAAAATTTTAAAAATTTTAAATTTTCAAATACTTAGTTTTTTAGGGAATATTAATTTTTTAAATAATTTTATTAACAATTAAGGGTCCCTGATTAATCTCCGCCTAGTCCGATTAATCGTTTATCGCCAGTCGACCGTCGAGCTACCACCGAACGATTTTTACAACCTTGGTTCTAATTACAACTTCAAAGATCTAATAAAACCATTTGATTTAAAACATTTATTAAAGTATAGACATAAGAGATATTGAGTGCGAAAATCTCCAATGGATGCGATGCAATCAAGCCGCTGCATTCCTTTAATGTAAGAAAAACTGAAATAATTTAAATATAAAACCGTAGGCACAAAGCTTAGTGGGTTCCCAAGATACCACATAGCATACATAAAGTCACAAGTCTATTTCAACCCTAAGTGAATGTTATATGCCAAATCATAGTCTTACAATCACTTCCTGTCATGGACCAAATCATGGTATTTCCTTGCAATGCCAAGCGCCAAACCCTGGTCTTACATACAAGTGATAGGTGCCAGATCGTGGTGTTTCATACAATTGTCACGGGCCAAATCATTGTCTTTCATACAATTGCCAATTGCTAGATCCTAGTCTTCCGTACATATGATAGGGGCCAGATCCTAGTCTTCCATGCAAGAGTCACAAAGACGACTAGCATCCTACATAGTATAGTGAGAAGACTCACCTGAACTACTCAACAAAAGTTCAACAGCTACCTCAGCAACATAACAGCTAACCCAAGCTACCTAATGCCAAAATGAGACCATTCCTTAGCCAAATACTCAATTATACTAAAGTTTGACTAAAAATGAAAATGATCAAAAAGTCAACAGTCAAAGTCAACTAAGCAGATCACCACGCCGTGGCCAACTATTGGCCACATTGTGGCTGCCAAACGACAAAAAACAGTCGTGATGAATCCCACCACCAAGTTGTGGGCCTTCCTTGGCCACGTCGTGGTTTTAGTCTGTAATACTTTTCTTCATTAAGAGATTAACCCATAAAGACCAAAGCTCATAACATCAGATTTGGCATCTAATAGCATCATAATGGATAAAGTTTCCAAATTTATCCATTATGATGGTCCAAACTGAAGGGTTTTGAGCATTCTAACACTCCTATCGTGTACATGCAACCCTAGAAACCTTGGATCTATGTTTTGACTAAGATACTTGCAAATAATAATTTTCCAAGGTTTACTTCCTAACTAGCATGTTATTGGATACTTGAATCATAAAACACTAGTAGAATTACATACCTTTTAGTAGTGGTTGATTGCTTGGAGTTTGAGAGCCTAGCACCAATAATGTGGATGCCTCAAATAGAAGTCACAAATCACCACAAACTTTGGAAACCTTTAGAGAGAGTATGAACACTTGTAGAAATCGGCTACCTTTGCTCACACACACACTAGTGCCATTTCGAGTGCCAAGGACTCCTTTATATAGTGTGGTGGATTAGGGTTACATCCATGTAAACCCTAATACCCATGACCTTTCATTTCCACGAGATCCATGGGTTAAAGCTCCATGGACTATCTATGGACTTTCCATGCAAGCCTAGCCCATTATAAATAAGCAATAACCCACACTATATAAATACAAGAGTCCATATTTAATTAGTCACCTTTTTTATCACCAAATTAATTCTAAATTAATTCTAGATCAATACTAATTAAATAATATGATTTCATATTAATGTATTACAACTTATAATATATTAATAAATCATAACTTATGCTATTCTCAAAAGATTATCCGTATAAATTGTTCGGGTGAAGTGCAACCCAAATGGACCATGCCGGGTCGGGTCAAGTACATCTCAAATATAGTTATGGACTTAGACACCTTATCCAACAGTCTCCCACTTGGATAAGTCTAATAACTATAATTGCAAGCATAACTTCAGGAACCGACCGACAATCGTAGCTCTTAAAACTCTGTTGAACTATGAAGCGCCATTTTAGATAAGTGATCATAAAATCCTCTGTTCTAGATATCAGCTGGAAAAATATATGGAACAATGTCGTACTTATTGTCCAGCAGTTTGTTTCCCGATTTCTGATTTGTTTGACATAGAACTTAATTGAACACATCAATTTAGTTCTGACCGGGCCCGGTACACAGGTCAAAACAAAATCATCGAGGGGCCAGATATCGCTTCTAATCCAAGAAGGAACAGATAAACTTCGACTCATATGCTTGTTCTACTACTTGTTGAATTATACACAAAGGTACGTTTTATGACATCAAGTTACTGATGCGTTTTCGTACAATCAATGCATAACCAACTCATAGGCAACAACTCATATCTCTAGGTTTGAAGACTTATATGATATTACCGTCTCACGATCACTCGAGATAAATTCCATGAAGTGATACAAGTGAGAGTGGGTTGAATCCAATACTCAGAACTTATGAGCACTCATGAATGTTGTAGCAACTCTTGCTATGTCCAACATCTTAGACATCTACAAACCAACTTCATGACAATCTTGATTCATATCTACTTCCAACATATGACCGACTGTGGAGATTTGAATAATAT